AAACATACACCAACTGACAGTTGAGAAATGAAGTCCTAAAGTATGTAGGAGATCAAAAGGAGCAATCCTGGGATTAAAATTTTTCCTTGGACAATTCATACAGATCCTCACAGGATAATCAAGACAACTATATTTCCTGTAAATTTGTCCTACGGCTCCCAGATGGATACTGGGCTAGGGAGGTAGAAAGGTGGTAGGACATTTATGGATGTTTTAAGAAGTAAAGGGGTTTGGGGGGGGTGAATGCATTTTTTTACATAGCAGATTTAATATTTAAATATTTCCTTTTAGCACAGAGGGTTGACTGAATATAGCTTATCATTAATTTCACTCCTATGGTGAGCATTCTGTGCCTGCGTATTTTAGATAAATCATGTTTAACAACATTGAGAGAAATGTCAGTATTTGGAATATCATCCTGGATGTTCCTCATCAGTTTGACTTTTCATGAAGTGATAATAGTTTTCTTCAGAATATGAAAAAAGACTCTAACTGAGGGTCAAGATTATGTTAGTTTTGAGGAAAATAATACAGCACCTTGTTATCATTCTGTAATTTCATACTTGATAAAAATCGATTCTGACGATTGCTTTCTCATGATTACATATTAGGAACTTGTCACCCCTCACAAACTGAAAATAGGCCTAATTAATTAGCTTTCTTCGGTAATTTTGTATCTGACAATGTGGTTCAGGTGTATCAGGATTTTTGTTGTTATTGTTGGTATAAACCAAACTCATCTTCTGTTTTTTTTTAATTTTATTTTTACAATTCTAGGGTTTATTTTACTAAATACACTAAAACTAAATACAACTAAAGCCTCCAAATATCTCTATGAATTTAATTAAAAATATTTGTTAAGCACCTACTACAAGCTAGGTACTATGAAAGGCATTGGTGATATAAAGAGATAATTAGAATAGTCCCTGCCTTTGAGAGAGAGAGAGAGAGAGAGAGAGAGAGAGAGAATAATTGGGGGCATCAGAAAGGTTCTTATATAGGAGTTGTGCTTTAAAGGTAAAGCTAGGATTCGTATGAGGAGGGAGTCATTAGGAGTTGTACTACAGATATGGGGAACTACATGAACAGAGACGTGTACTTTGGAGATGAATTACCATGTACCAGGAACCAATAATAGGCCAGTTTAACTAGAATGGATACTATATAAAGGGTAGTAATATGAAATGTTTGGAAAGGTAGGTTGGAGTCAGAGTGTGAAGATAAAATGCCAGGCTGATGATTTTTAATTTTATCCTGGGATAATAGGGATCCACTGGAAATTTTTGAGAAGGGTCAGATTTGTGTTTTTGGAATAGCAATCAACAGCTGTATAAAGGATGAATTAAAAAGAGAAAAGACTGGAGGAAAAAAACAAATTTCTAAAAATGGAGAAAAAGAAAAGAAAAATACTAGAAGTAGGGAGAATAGGTGGTAGTTGAAATTGTCAAGGCAAAAAGTGATAAAGGTCTGAATTAGGATGAAGACAGAGTGAAAAGAGAGGAGACAGATGCATGAACTATTGTGGAAGTAATTTTAAAAATATTTGACAACTGACTGGATATAAGGGTTGAAGGAGAAAGAAGAGTAACAGATTGCAGACCTTGATTACTGGAAGGATAGTTGTGCCCTGTATTGGAGAAATTTTGAGTTGTAATGGTTTGGGAAGAAAATATTCCATTTTGTGTTTAAGAAACCAAGGAGGCATCCAGATAAAATGGAACAAGAGCTTAGCAGGAAAGATGAAGGCTGGTTATTGTAGATTTGAGAATCATTTGCCTTGACATAATAAATGAACCTATTCTGTGAAATCATTCAAATTGTAAATTCTATTTTATGTATCTTAGATTACTATTCTAACCATTTATAAAATGTATAAAATTTGTTTTTAAAAAGAAAAACAAGGAATACCTATATCATCATATTGCTAGTCCCTCTGCAAACACTTCTAATGACATTGTTTTAAACTCACATTCAGACTGAAGTACACAAAGGTTAAGTGATTAGCTCAGGTTCTGAGGAAGGATTCAAACTCTCATCTTCATGACCACAAAGCCAGCAACTTCGTCCATTCTGCCACCTAGTTTACATCATATAACATTTGAATTTTAGTTGTAACCTTCTTGAGGATAGGGTTTCTCTTTCTCTCTTTTTAAAAATTTGTATATTTCTAATGCTTAGAATAGTAACTGACAGGTAATTAATAAAAGTTTGCTGAGTTCAGTTAAATTCTAATCTTCAAAAAGGAAGAAAATTTATATTCAGAATAGTCGTATATGTGTAAAATCATGATACTGTATTACAAGAAATGAATCCCATTAAATTTCTTAAATCTCATTAATTTATTTCAAATTAGTGAACATGAGAAATGAAACTGAACTGAGCCCTGTTTATATATATATATATATATTATATATATATATACATATAAAATTGGATATTAAAATGAATCTAAAGTTTTCCTTGATATAACTGAATCCTCGTGTGGTCACTCTCCTTACATAAATCATTATTTTTACATTTTTTTGGTATTTTATATTTGGTTTTTATTTTCAGTTTCACATTTGCTTGCTCCCCCCCTCCTCTCCCCTACTCATTGAAAAGGCAAGAAATAGTATACCCATTATACACATGATGTCATCTTGCATAAATCCTTGAGAGATAACAATACCAATGTCCTGATCCTGAGCCCGAAATGTGGTATGAGTTGAGTTATGAGTGGCTGCTTCACTTGCATATTTACTACTGGCTAGAAACTAGCATCTGGGGTTCTGTCTTTAAGAGCAAAAAACATGTCTTCTATTCTGGGAGTTACTAATGACTTAGGTTATAATTTTTGTCTCAGTTTCTTATCAGAAAAAAAAAAAAAGGATTACTCTGCCTTACCACAGAATTGTGGGGATTTGTTAGGTAATGTCATTGCTAAGCTTCACATTTCCCAGCAGTAGGGTACTACTCTTGCAATAGCAGTAAAAGTTACAAAAATAATCATAACCTTTGTCCAAATAATTCCATTGTTGGAAATGTGCCTTAAAAGTGTTACTTGAAATGAACAATAACAAAAAGAGCTATATCTTCAAAGATTTTCGTAACAGCATTATATGTATTTGCAAAGGACTTGGAATAGCCTAAATGTTCAACAAGAAGGAAATGGTTGAATAAATTGTGGGACATAAAACAACAAGGCAATTTAGATTAACAACTACAAGGTGTGTGTATGTGTGTATATATATATATATATGTATGTGTATATATGTATATATATGTATATATGTATACATGTATATATACACACACATACATATGTATTATGTATGTATATGTATGTTTATACATATACATATTATATATGTATAGATATATATATATAAAATCTGGAAATTATTTGATGAAATAATTCCAAATATAACCAACTGAATCAGAAGTATAGGATGCACTAGAACCATTACCATGTAAGGGGAAAAGTGAAGAAGAAATGGACAAGCAAAATAGCCTGATGAGGACTTAGATGGAGTGACTAAAAAAAAAACTTTATTATTTACTTTAGGCATTGCAATTTATTAAAGTAAACAAGCAAGTTTAGTTTATTGTATTGTATTGATTATAATTAAATATTGGAAAGGCCCTACCTCTAATACATACTGGCTATGTGACCGTAAGTAAGTCACTTAATTCCTTGTTCCTCACATGAAATTCAAATAGAAATGATCCCTACAAGGCTGCATATTGACTTAAAAAATAAACAAATTAACATTATCTGTGTGTTGTATGGGGGTGTTTGAAGAGGAATAGTACCTCTGGTGTGAGGGCTCATCACTTCTTTTCAGGGCTGCTCATTCACGCTTGGTGTCTGTCTGGTACTCAACTTTCATTTGTGGCTCCAAGAAACTGTAGCATACACAGAAGCCACACCTTGGTAAACCATTGGCACCAATGGGCCTCAAACCCATTGGTGAGTTAGGGTGGGGTGTCTCACCCAAGTATGTGAAGACTTCTCCCCATGGAATTGGTAGATTAAAACAATTTGTTCCAATGGCCTTGAAAGTGGCTGAAGCAGGTGCCATGGAGAGCTTTAAGCTTAGTCAGACATTGAAGACACCGAGGTGATCCACTGCATCCCAGACCATTGCATTTTGTCTTAACTTTTGTTGTGCCAATGGACTTCAATGTTTATGGAAGAGAGAAATGAGAATGATGACTTTGTGTAAATCTGCTTCACTTAAATCCAATTCATTCATGAGTCAAGACATCACCCTGTGATGTCATTGGTCCTCTTTGAAAATGAAGGACAAATAACAATTGTATTTTCATTTATTTTGTTAAACATTCCTCAATTGCATTTTAATCTGATTCTGGTTAACTGAGGCTGTTGGGCTGCCACCTCTAAGGTCTAAACAAATCTCTAAGACTGTAAGTTGCAAAGACATTATTATCAACCTGCACTAGTAGAATGAGGTTCCTCATTAGTAGTCCACTATACCAGTGAAATTACAGGTTTAGTCCCTATCCTAAAAAAAAAAATTATCATAAGTACTTTTGAATATGAAACAAAATGCTAAAATATTACAAACAAATGCATTTATGAAGCCAAAATGAAGACCATTTTCTCTTAGAAAAATTTTCAACCCAAATTCTATTTACCACCTGTTTCTTAATGGCAAAAATAGGATGGATTACGCATCTTGTTGCTGGTGTCCATTGCCATTTATGTCATTTCTGGGTAATGTAGCCCTGATTAGAAGCAAGTCTACATTGGGAGTGAACATTTGGTCCTGACATCTGGCTCTGGGACTTAGTTATTTTGCTCTAGACTTTGTTACAAGTGTAAGATGTTCCAGGCAAGGCAATTCATCATTATTAATGTATTACACAGTCTAACCTCTGAGGAGCTCATCCCTTTAAAAACTTTAAATTGTCAAATAAGTATTCATTTCCACAATATCTTTAGAAGGCAGGCAAACTCCAAAAAACACACTAACAATTATTTCTTTTTTCCCTTGCAGGGTTCCTTAGGACTAGAAGGTCCCCAAGGTCCACCTGGGAAAGAAGGTCAAAGGGTAAGTAAACTTTGAACAACTGGCAGGCATTAACTAAGCTCAGTCATTCTGTGTCTCTGAACACCAATAAAAATAAAATTCAAAGATGGCAGCTGGGTATGAGGTGAATGTTAACTAATAGTACTTTGAAATTTGAGGTTTGTCTTCATTAGACTGAGGTTTCCCGGTTTGGAAAATCCTATGTGTTTTAGAGCCTGGCACCATAGATGCAGGGGACATTGGATAAAATTAATCAGGTGTGCAATTTAATCTAGAGTACTGAAGTAGCTAATATTGAGTATTGGCTTTTTGAAATAGGTCAATGAGGGTCTTGGTGAACTACCTTCCCATTCAGTATGTCTGTATAATCTGTACATTGTTTTTTCATTCCTTAACAAAATGCAATTTTCTTTACACAAGGGAAACATCTTAGTTCTTCCCCTTGCATTTATTACATTTGAGTCAAAATTACTATTAGAATATTTTCTTCATTCAACTATTATTTTGTGACCAGATAACTTTCTCTTTGCAAGTCGATTTTTTAATTTAAAATATCTTTCTAGAGTCACATAATCAGAATTGGAAGGGACCTTAGAGATCAAATTTAACCTTTCCAACCTATACAGAAATCTTTTCTACAGCATCCCACAGGTTCAGATTGTAATGCATGCACATCCTGT